TTCTCATTCACACACAAGTTTACGTTAAAAACACACATGAGCTACAAAAACAGTCGGTTATGTCTGTGAAGGTAAACAGCTGGGAAATAAATCGCATGTTTATTTTAGATCTGTGTGGCAGCAGCAATATACAGTAAATAAATCAATAAATGCACTGCTCTGTTGTCTCCTCTGAGGCTGGGACTGTAAACAGTGTTCTGTGCTCGTCTGTGCAGTCAACCACTGAACAGTTAGCATGTTTTGCTCAAACTTTCATCATGGCATTAGAGCTAGTACACCGTTGTCGCTTGTGAAATCAAAATGATGGTGCCGTGGGTGGAAACTTACAGATTAAGGGGCAGTAATATTATAATGAGATTCCTTTGCCAAGTCACCAAGGCAGCGAAATCAGACGCGCTCGTTTCTTCAGACGCTTGCAGAAAAAGGCTTCCCAAAACAAAGTTACTGGGTTAATCTTTTTCACGTTTCCTTGGTTGGTAGATGCACCCTGGAAAAGTCAGATTTTCATGCTATGTCACCTTTAAAATATCATGACAGTTGTATATTTGTATGATATTACATTCATATATATGTTAAAATATCATAAAAATATAGAACTGTCATGATATTTGTGGTGGTCTAGATCAGGGAATCTCAAATGTTTTTGCCACCTCTAAAATCCCAGTTAAACACTGGGAACAGCTTTCTGTCGGTGGACATTTACTTGTAACATTTGTTAAAGGGGGGGTCTAATACTATTTCATGCATCGAGTAATTTACACTGTTAAAGAGTTGGATTCTCATGCTAAACATGGCCAAAGTTTCAAAAAACGATTTGAATGTAGAATGGAGAATTTTGGTGTTAAATACATTCCTTCCAGTTTCGGAAAGTTTTTTTTTCGATCGTGGCTCTTCATGACGTCATGAAGGGAGGAACTCCTTATATGGGCATTTCTCCCGGAAGAGCGCGCCCGCGCACGCATCGACCAGAGCGAGAGCAAGAGCACGCCCTTCAACGAGGACTCGCTCGGGAAGAATGTCTCCAAAGAAGTGTGTTTTTGGTTGCAAGGGAAAGATAACTTTGTTCAGCATCCCAAAAGAACCCAGCGTTACGTAAACAGTGGATGCAGTTTGTTTTTCCGGGGGGGGCAGCAACGGAGTTTTGCACGTGTGTTTGTTTACGAAAGTTTTATATACAAGGCCCAGTTCGACGCTGGATTTGCACATCGTTTGATACTGAAAGATGGAGCGGTCCCAGCTATAAAAGATCCCGGTCATGATTCAGAACTGCAGACGGTAAGTGAAACGGCATCAAATGTCTCTGTTTTGTTGGCAATCGGCGCTCAAGTGCTCATGACTCTTCAGCTCCGCCCACGGCGCGCCTCCAGGAGCTCGGCTGTTTTCAGAGAGCATCGTAAAGCTGTATCTTTCTTTTATAAATATGATAAAACTAAAGACTCTTTGGAGATATAAAGGATGCAATACTACATTATAGGTACTCAAGATTAACATGAGATCGGGTGAAACTGTGTGTGTTATATCCCCTTTAACATCTTCTAAGCTTAACTGATTCAAATTCTGACACTAGCAACAGTGAGGTCATGGGTTCGATTCCCAGGGAAAGCAAAAACTGATAAAAAAAAGTGGTCTAACTGTAAATGTTGATCTCAGCTCTTAGAGGAGACTCGTGATGAAACGCAGCGTCCTCCAGGTGCCGAGGCGTTTAATTAACCCGTTTGACTTAAACAGGCTTGACTTCCTGCACTGGGTGTTTAAAGCGCTCTGTCGGGACAGAAATAGCGGCGCAGCTTCACGCTGGTGTAATTTGCAGTCAATAATCCTGAGCTAAACAAAGGGACGAGAGAGTGAGAGGCTATCATTTCCCCGGCGCGGGGCGGTTCACGTGCGACAGAGCCTCTAATCGGCATCACTCTGAACTCCAGAGTAACAGCAGCGCAGCCGCATCTGAGCGACTAATTGATGGGAGGAAACCGGGAGGCGAGGGGTCAGAGAGGTCACTGATGATGAAGGCAATCGAGGAGGAGGAGGAGGATGCACTGTCCTTGTCCCGGGCCGGTCGTCATGGTAACAGCTCGTAAAGAAGGCCTGTGCCGCTTCAAAGCGCTCCGGATCGCCGCGGGTCTCCAGAGGGGGTCAAAGGTCAAGCTGAGTGAATTATACATCACTCACTGTCCCACAGTCACATGACAGAACAAGACAAGGAGGCGAGCAGAAAGGATAGAGAGAAATGACAATAGAATTATATCCAAATAAAATCAATATTGCAATATGACTTGATGTGATTGTCTGTGATTTAATGAAATAAATATATATGCTACTGCGGTGTGGTTCATGATAGTGTTTCATGAAAAATATACAACATCATATATAAAAAT